GGACTTGTATCGGTAAAGTTTCTTCGTAAAGTATTTTTACGGAAAATTAACTGACGACCAGAAACGTAACAAGTATATACGTAAATCCTGAGAGATTTGACTTTTTCCAATATCATAAAAAACAGGTTTGGAAGAAAGAGACATGCCCAGTTAAGAGCAGCTAAAAACAAAACATACCACCTGAAAAACATAATTTTATAATTCATATTTTCTTGATAGATCACGTGCTTAAAATATTCGGTATTTGATGAATACGCTGATATAATCCAAACCCAATAACTTTGGTAAATACTTTATATCATTTGCGTCACGTGGCAATAAATGGAAAGTGTGATTGGTGACTTGAGCTGACCGATACTTTATTTAGAGGGCGCACATAGGTTTCTAGTGTGTGGAGTTCGATTTGGAAGAAGGTGAGGAATTGAATACATATTTATCGTTAATGTTATTTTTGCACGAAAGTTTATAATTTCAAAATTAAAAGCTACACAATATCATTTTTGACATGCGAAAAAAGTCTTGTTGCAAGGAATCATATTAACATATAAAGAATTATTGACACACATCGAGCTAGTACTCGACACCACAGTCTGTGTCGTACTCGTACTTAGTCGTAGGAATAACGTAGATTTTACGTAGTGTTGTTATGACTGCAGACTAGGATATGTACACTACTTACTAGGCCTAACATGTTTTTTCATTGTTTATGTATATAATAACATTAAATTATACTTTATAGTAAGTTATTAGATACGCTAGGATGTTACTTTGTTTTGAATATAAGTTTTCTTCAAAGCAAATATACTTATTCATAGATTTATACAACTTACATTTTTTTTTTTATTTTAATGTGTAATAATGACTACCCTTAACTGAAGGCTTAAGTTGAAGCCTTAATTTAATTTTGTATAATAAGATAAATCTAATTATTGCTAAATATGGACTTACCATTATTCCATATAAAACTGTTGCCAACTTGTTGGTGTTTGTAATGTGAGGTAGAAGTGCCAATAACTTGATGAGTATAATAGAAATATGATATTTATAAATTATAGTTAACTCTACAAAATAGATCTTTACTCTATAATTTGTGTGAATTATAAATGTAGGTTTTATACTTGTTTTAACAAGTGTTGTATCTAATAATAAAATACAAACCTAAAAGTTATACATTAAAGTTATATATCAATTAAACATAAGAAAAGGCATTTGCAGTTTGAAAATTAGAAATACCTTTTCTACAAGTTTTCAGTTGTTTATCAATATTTAAGATTGTTTTTGATCACCTTAAATGTATAATGAAGCCTACATATATAAAACTCAATACATTTATATAACATTTGTTATTGTTGGGGTCAAATATCCATAAAGTGAGCCATTAAAGCGTTCTTATAAAAAAAAAACATTTTGTCCTAATAGTGTTAAAAATCATACAAGACTGTAAATGTTTAGTCTATATTCATTTTAATTAGTCCATTGTGGATTTCAAATTAAAAACATGTAAAAATAGCTTTTGTAATATACTACCTGCTGAAAAAACAATTTTAAATCACATTTTCTTTCTTGTCTTTCACTTAATGGTGAGCATGTTTACAACACTCTATGCTGTTATTGACTTGCTGGAAAGATGGGTTTTTTTATAATAAAGCATAAATTAAGTTTCTAATTAAAGTTCAAGATCAGTTAGCTTGATCATGTTGCTCTTTATAAATAATTTTATTTTTGGAGATTGATATTGTAGTGCGGTTATAGGTTTTGAAATTAACATTAACTTCAAATGAAGTGGAATAACTGCTTAAATTATTAAATATATTTTGAAAGAAATTAACATAATGTTTAAGTATTGGTTGTAAAATAATATTTCATCAAGAACACTAAAAACTTAGTGATATTTTGTTCCAGGGGAATTACCTACTATGGTGAAATTCAGAACATTTTTGTTAAATAGTAACTTAAAATCAGTAGTCGAAAGATGGTATTGTTTTTAAATCGACAAGATTACAGTGAAACTGTGAATAATTTTATTTATGAATGTTTAGTAGTAAATGTCTAAAATGTGTATCATATCCTATTACTTTAAAAGTCTTTATTTCTAGTTAAACCAAATCACACTCAGAGGGTTTTTAGAATTGGCCTTCCACAACATGTCAGATGACAGACAAGATGAAGATAGAGTTCACGGAGGCTGTGAGGGGCCTGATGCCATGTATGTCAAGTTAATCTCTTCTGATGGACATGAATTTATTATCAAACGGGAGCATGCGTTAACCTCAGGAACCATAAAAGCAATGTTGAGTGGTCCAGGTAATATTTTCTTATATATTTTTATATACCATTCATCAAGGTTGATCTTAATCTAAAAGCAAGGAAAACAAAGATATGAACAATAGGAACCATTTGGTCCTTACATAAGAAAATTGAAAATATAAACCCACTGTTTATTTTTCAGTAAATCATCTGTTCCCCTCATCTAAAGAGCTGCCTCCATTACTGCTAACAACAACCTGTTCCTTAAGTCAGTTACCAAATTTAAAAAACAAATAGAATTGGCTTAATTTGAACCTAGCATGTCTTTTTTTTTTATATCAAATGTTAAACTTGTGTCATCTCATCCTGTTATCTTCAGAAGTTAGCACAATAAAATCAGAGGCTTGTAGCCTATTGATCTCCTGGATAATCTTGTAAACTTGAATAAAATCACCTCTTAATCTTCTTATCTCAAGATAAGTTAAAAGATCTTAATTCCTTCTTTCCATGTAAGATAATCCTTCCATCCCCTGAATCATTATATTATCTCTCCTCTGAACCCTTTCCAGTAAATCAAAATCCTTTCTTAGATAAGGAGATCAAAACTGTCTACCTAATTCTAAGTGAGGCCTAACAATTGATTTGCACAGATAGATAATGATATCTTTCGACTTTTAATTAGTATGTCTGTAAATACACTCTAAAAGTAAAATTATATTAGCTTTACTACTAGCAACAGTGACATATTTACCATTGTGTTAATATTCTATTCTTTAGTCATGCTAACAACATAACATAAAATTAAGAAGAAAAAAGGTATCTGTTTGCCCATCTAGGCCACTCCATCTACTAAATGAAACTGAATATTAAAAAATAGCCAGCCCTTAACATTAAAATATTTATCAAGCTTTCCCTTAAATTTACTGCACCCACCACATCTGAAGGCAACCTATTCCAAAGGCCAACCACTCTGTAAGAAACATTTAACTATCTTAGCTGAAGATCACTCCTTCTCTATGAAAATTTATATTTCTGTCTCCTAGTCGTACCATTCTCACCATTAAGTTATATATATATATATATATATATAAAGATAATGTATCAGCACTGTCAATTCCCTTTACAATCTTAAACACCTCAATCAAATCCCCTCTAACTCTTCTTTTTTCAAGAGAAAATTTCAAAGAGCTCACCTGTTCTCATATGACAACCCTTCCATCGTGGGTGCCATACTAGTAGCCTCACTTTAAACCCTTTCCAACAGTTCAAAGTTCTTAAGGTAAAGAACCCAAGATTGAACATAATATTCCAAATATGACTTATACAGTGAAATTATAACCTCTTTAGACTTGTGTTCATTAGTTCTGTACATACAATATAAAATCCTATTTGCCCTACCACTAGCAACACTTAAGGTTATTCCCATCAGAATTACTCATAATTCAGGTATGACAACCCACATGAATTACCATGCATTTATTATAATTAAAAGCCATTTGCCATTTATTCACCCAATTACCAAATAATCTAAATCCTCTATAGATCAACAGTATTCTCCTTACAGCCGGCAGCACCCAAAACTTTAATATCATTACCAATTTTAAGTAATTTCTTAACCATTCCTTTGTCTATGTCATTGATGTCAATCAAAAAGAGCAAAGGTCCTAATACTTAGACCTGAGGTACTTCATTTGTGACATTAACAATCCTCTGCTTTCATCCTTCCAGCCACTTTTCCATCCAATAAACCTAGGACTTGGTGTTTAGGATATTTGACATGCAATCTGCAGGCTGTGGGATCGAATCTCATCAGTTCACAACAAGCTTGCCCCTTCAGCTGTGGCAGCATTATAATGTAACAATCAATGCCACTGTTCATTGGTAAAGAATAGCTCATGAATTGACTGTTGTTGGCAATGACAAGTTTCCTTCCCTCTAGTCTGTCATTTCAAAATTAGGGACGTCTAGTGTAGATAGCCTTCGAATATCTTTGTCAAAAATTCAGAAACAAAATCCAACGAGCCAACTTATCTCTACAGTTACAGGTATAACTTTTTAATAAACCCTTTATGTGGTACCTTGTCAAATGCTTTCTGAAATTTCAAATCCACACCTTTAACCTCTCTACATAAACAGTAACCTCCTCAAAGAATGTCATTAGATTAGTAAGACAAGATTTTCCCCTAGTGAAACTATGTTAACTATCCAACAACATTATAAAATTTGTTAAGTGACTTTGCAAAGCATCTTTTATAAGATTTTCCTAAATTTTTCCCACAACTGATGTAAGACTAATACGCCTGTAGTTACTTGGACAGTCTTTAATCACCTCCCTTGAAAATAGAAGTAGTAGTCATTTTTCAATCTTCTGGGACCTGCCTGCTATTCAAGGACTTTATAAAAAAAAAAAAAAGTAAGTGGCTCAAATATCCAATCCTTAGTCTCCTTCAAAACTTTCAGGGAAATGTTATCTAGCCCGAGAACCTTATCATTCTTTAAGCTTCCCAATGTTTTCTTGACAAGCTCAGAATTATCGTGATCATCTTGTTTGGTCTTGTTTCCATCTAGCAACTGTTTTGGATGAGGACTATTGCTTAAATCTTTATTAGTAAAAATTGAAGAAAAAGTAGAATTTATTATCCAGCCACTTCTAATGTATTTAAAGAAATTTTTACTGTTAATTGTTACATTTTCAGCCAACTTTTTCATATACACTATTCGATTTCCTAATGTTCTGTTTGACCAACTCTCTTGACCTTCTATAATCCTGTAAGTTTCCTGTCATAGTAGTCAATTTAAAATAACTTTCATCTCTTATACCCTTTGTGAGCCGACTTGCTGTCACCCATTTTATGTTTGTAGAAGGAACAATCTTGAATATTTAGAAATTTATTTCTAATAATATTTCACATTTGATGAGTATCTTCAGTTATCCAGTTCACAACAGGTAATTGTTGTTGCATCCTTTCAAAATTTACAATCAAAATCTTAATATTTCTATCTCCATATGCTGTAAAACATCAGACCTAACTGAACAATGATCACTTGCACTCAGATGTTCCCCAGTCTCAAACATTTCTGTTTTATAAGTTAACAATAAGTCTGAAATAGCATACATCTTGGTAGTTTCCCTAACAAATCTGTCGGTAAAACCATTATGAAATATTTCTGAATGAGTACTGTCTCCATCATGGTTTGATTCTAATATTTCCCAATCTATATGCCTGAAATTAAAATCTTCCATAATTAACAGCTGAAATCTTAATCTTACTGCAGATTTCCTGTATGGTCTGTAACAAATTCCAACTTACAGCTTTCTCCCTCCCTCTATATCCAAATCAATTCAACATCCTTGCTGTCTTGGATATCCTAAACTTAAACTCACATTTTATACATAAAGCCACTTCTCCCCCTCCTTTTGGATAACTTCTAACCAGAGAATTTCAATAATCAAAATTGTCTCTATTTAACCAAGTTTCAGTTCCATTATATTAAAATCCTGTGTTCCTACCATGCTCTAAAGTCACCTGTTTTTATTTCTTAGTTTAGCTGACTTTAAACTACTTCTGTACATGTTGCTGCACAACACTTCTCCCTTTTTTTTGATTTTCTGGATTTAGTTTGTCCTAGCTTTCACCACTTAGTCCTAGTTTAAAGCTGGTTCAACAGTTGAGTTAATCCGGTCCCTACCCTACTTAAATATAAACCATTCATCCCAAAAAACCTCCGTTTTATCATTGAACTGAACCATCAAATCCAACCAGCCAATCTGATTTTTCCGACATATTAACCTTAGCCTAGTTTTCAGCCCTATTAACATACTTATTTCATCTCCACAGTTAGATATTGGCAGTATTCCTGAAAGAATTAAGTTATGGCCCTTTTCATTAAATGCCTTTACAAACTCCCTGTACCTATCAATCAGCTACTTTGTCTTACCCTTCCCTAAATCATTAGCCCCTCTGTGCACTAAAGACTGTATCATTATCAGCACTCTTTACTATATCACTTGCTCTGTCAGTTATAACCTCCACCCCTGCCTTTGGATATCATAATCTAATTGTTTTCTCCCTGTTTACCCCACAGGCTATTCTGTCCATGTGCTGTACCAAATAATCACCTATAACTATAACCTCCAATTCCTCACCTGCACAAGATAAAGGCTGAATTCTGCTACTTATCCCTACATGTACAACGTTGGTCCATTGAACCCATTTCTGTGAAGCTATACACAGCAATGTTTACTATAATTGTGAACTTACTAAGCTTATCTTTAGAAAATTTGGTAACATTTTAGTAAACATTACAAGTATGTTCTTCACAAAAAAAAATCAGAATTTTTAATAAAGTTTTTTGGCTAAAGATTTGTTTGTGAATTTACAAAGTCATTTGATTCTCATTTTAAGAATAAAAGTATGTTTTTCCTTTTACAGTTTTGTATTTGATATGCATGACTTCTGGATCCTTCTAAATGAATATCAAAAGTTTTTTTTGGTAAAACTTTATCTCTTATTTTTGCTATCCTAACACTAACTGTAGCAAAATCATTAATAGTGAAAGAAGAAAGATATCAAATCAAAAATGTATTTTTCTTTCTGGAATGACAGTAGATTTTAACAAATAAGTATATTTATTTATCCTCAAAATTTTAGGATTTTAACATTTTCATAAATTCTTTTATTAACTGTTATTGTTCTTTGAACCATGTCCAACTATTAAATTAGTAGCAACAAAACAATAAATCACCCGGCAAGTGCTTTATTCAAATTATGGTAAAGAAGGTATCAAACTAAACATTGAAGGAGCTTCCGTGCATATCTCGCTAAAACATTTTTTACATTTAAGTTTTGTATCTAGCCTAATAACCTTCTAATTTATATATTGTAGTTACTTTCATAACATTAAATACACATACCAAATAAGAAATTTAGTACTTATGTCTGACCTCTTGTTTTTATGTGATATCTAACTTTATTTTTTAGTAACAGTGGCTGTAATACATAAAAAATTAAGAACACAAAATATTAATATGCACAAAACATACAGTGATCTCAAACTATTGTAAGTTACGTGACTTTTTAATTAAACTATAAATAGATCACAATAACTGCCCTACCTAGTCGAGGTGACTTTGGTGAAAGCAACAATGAATCTGTATGCTTAATAATTCAAAAACTCTCGTTAGAATGAGCTAGGCTTATGAAAGTCAGTAAATTAAATCTTCTCTTTGTGTTAATTATAAATGAACCAATAGCAAGTGTCAGAGAATTGACATTTTTTTGAAAAGAGGTATGGCTTGTGAGTTTGACATTCTGGCTTATATTTCAGTAATGCAAAATATTGAACAATACAAATGTATGTTAGCTATTAGTAATATCTCTTCTCTAAGTGTATCATTTATGTCAAACTGGGAAGACTCTTAGAGGTAGTAAGACAATCTAAAATGAGCAATTCAGGGAGAAAAATTGTCACGTGAGATACAGAAGTGAAGATTGAAAATTTATTTAAATATTTCCCATTGAAATTAAATAAATAAAGCTTGAATTATAAACAACATTTTGATGCTAAGTTTATTAGTATAAATTGATAATATAACTGTTTAAATTTTGAATGTAACTCTGTAAAACGTGGCAGGCGAACTTTGACCCAACCACACATGTGGTGTTAATAGAACCTTCTAATTACAAATATACCTACTACTTTTAGTCGTAATATAGTTTTAACTTCCTAAACTGCTTTATCGTTACATATAAAGGCTTAAGTTGATCTTTAAATCCTGATGTCATTTGCCACAGTTTACACTTTGTTTTCTCCATCACCTCTACTCTATCATGATAACCACCAATATCTCCTCCAGCCTTTAAACTCAACAAAGAAATCACGCATCTTCACTCCTAGCTAAATGTGTGACTTTACACTTCTTATTATTTGTTTGTAGAACACTCCTACTCAGATCCTTCTCTCACAAAGAACAAGTTAGA